ATTGCTAAAAGCGGCGTAACACCTCACTCACTCACTCACTCACTCATAAGCGCATAAAAGACACAATTAGACGTTCATACGTTTTCCACGAGACTGTATTCTTGAAATGACGTAAACACTGACGGAATACTTCCACATTCCTGGGGAAGCTCCTGGGAATTCCCTAATTCAAATAAATACAGAAGCTTTATTTCCGATCATTTAGATCCTTTAATCTTGAGCTGAGCAGTTTTAGCATACATTGAGAAAAGTCAGAGTTCAACTGCATGCTCGTTCACAAATATCCTCGCTACGATCCAAAACAAAACAAAACGAAGAAATGCACATACAACCTATCGTAGTATCGACTCGACGATGTCTAGACTCACGTTTCCGTTTGTATCTAGTTGACACATATCAACGATCGAGTACAGTAAACTACGGTTATAACGAACACGCTTATAACGAACTGACAGATATAACGAACTACTTTTTTGGTCCCGACTATTTGCTGTAGTTATGCTGTATATATGCTTATAACGAACTACGGTTAAAACGAACTAAGATTAGTAGTCTCTTTGAGTTCGTTATAACCATACTTTACTGTAATTGAACAATGATGACGTACACTTGTAATCACCCCAGGTTTCCACCTTCACGCTATAAAAAAGTGATATAAAAATATGAAATTGAAGTTACAGGTGTACAGAGACAATTTTCGAACTTCCTTGCCTCAGGACCTATTCTACATGTGCACCAGTGTGGGGCATGGCCAAAGCCCTAGAGGTCCGGGGTTCGATCCCCAGCCGCGTCATACTAAAATACGTTAAAAGATGGTAGTAGTTGTTACCCTGTCTGGCGTTCGGCATTAAGGGGCTAAAACAAGGACTGGTCTGCATCAGTCCGGACTAGTACAAGCAGCCACACACACACACATACACGTGCATGCACGTCGCTGTATAAGTGCAATAATCTTGGACGCAACGTTAAACCCCATTTCACCTCACCTCACCTCACCTCACCTCACCGAACCTCACCGAACCTCACCGAAGCCCTAGAACCTCTGAAGTCACAAATACAACTTTTCCCAGCGCCCAACATTGCTTAACTTCAACTGATTTGTGATGTGTACATATAATAACCATTCTTGTTTTAAAAGAACAAAATTTCAATAATGCATTCTAGTTTATTTTACCTTGATGTGTACACTACACTGTATATCTGTTGAAGAACTCACTGAATTACTATTGTTAAATCAAAAGCATCAGCTGAAGCATAACTTTTTTTTCAAAGTAATCAGAAAAAAACATATATATTTTCATTTGTTCGCATTGGGCCATGGAAAGGGAAAATATCATTAGTAGCTGAATCATCTCAATAAGTTGAAGTATTTCATGGAACATGAGAATAAAAACGGAACGATAATAGGTTTGTCTTGTAAATAGATGCAATCCCAATGTTATCGCGTCTCTTAAAGCAACCAATTAAAGTATACCGGGATGAAAAGAAAAAATATATAATGACGGACCTTTAATAGAATATTTTTGCTGTGCTTGGGTCTTTATCAGAGATGCATCAGTAGCATGGATAAAGTGAAAACCTTTTACAATTATCAAAGCTTTTAGCGCATGTATGTAACACGCGACACACTGAAAAGGACCCTCAACGTTATGACAATGACATTACAACAGAGAATCTCCCGATTGGTGAGACTTTAATGCACCTGAAGGTGTTGTCTGCAATGTGTGTGAATTGAGATCGAGACTAATGGCGGTGCTACCGGTAGAGCAGGGCATGCTTACACATATAATACTTTAGCGAACGCCTGGTGTCAACACTGATGTTCAGTGGTCCATTCATATAATTGCCACATTTTTTTTCATTTACGCCACATGAATCCGTTTCAGCGGATAATACAGACACTTTATTCTTTTGCATTGACATTGTATTTTAACATGCCCTGATATCCTTATGAATATAGACAGGTTTGACATGCATTGTTTTGGTGAAATAAAAATCGACATTGATGAAGTGGTTGCCGTCGAATATTTTGTAGTTTACTCACATCCAAGATTCTAGAAATCATTTAAGCGATCAGGAACCATTGAAAGATATTTATCATAACTTATTGATATTGAACCCCTAAAAAATGACTTTTCATTGTAGAGCAAACTGTTACGTATAAGAGTGCCATATTGATTGGATACCTTAACGCTGGAACTAAAGATAAACCAGACCATATTTCCTTGAATGACTTTGATGACATTGAACATGACTTACCTGATGATATATTCTACGAGCTTGGTGAACATGATCAGCTAATTATCTAGGAAATCCAGTAACGAGATACTCACAGGATAGGTCAAGTAAACAGCAATGGAAACACACTACTAGCATTGCGCAAAAGTAACAACATGTATTTTGAAGTTGTAATGATAGGGCACAATAAACTGGCGAACGTGCTTCCTGTAAAGACGCTAGTGTTATAGACTATGTGGGTTGCATCTAGAGATGTAATCAAGTCAATTTCTGAATTCCAGATAAATGAGTTTCAGCCTTTGTCTTTAGATGTAGTCTACCTATAAATAGAGCAAAATATGATGATTTGTCATCACACGAACATGGATAAAGCATTTTGCCATTCTTATTACACAAATGCAATCATTATGTCAGAAACTGTTGTACACGAGGTTGTCAACGAGTTATATAAAAGCGACAAAAACCTCTCCATTTTCATAAGAAATATCTGCTAAAAGCAAAGTCGAGTTACGATTCTGTCTATGTCATGAACATGTGTTTACAAATCACTATCAAATAGTGATGAAACCAGGTGTTCGCGAAAAGCTGAGCTGTGGGGCACCCATCACAAACACATGCAAAGGAAATGCAAACGTTCATCTGAAAACACACACGGGTACATATGCTACAAGTCAAAGTAAGGGATTGCATCGGACATCATTTAAGTCACTGATGCATCAAATTTGGAAATGTCATCCACATGTCTACCATAAATCATGATAAAGCTTTACTGATACCTTGAATGTTGTAACCTTGATCAATCAACTTCTGAGCAAGAGTTGTATGACGCTCTTTGAAGTATTGATAGAAAGAGCATGTTCGACTGTATCTCAAACGTGTAAACATCAGAAAAGGTATAAAGGCTGGAGCCGCAGGAATATTGCCCAACGTAAAGGGTTGGTTGGTTGGTTTGTTGTTTAACGCCGCACTCAGCAATATTCCAGCTATATGACAGCGGTCTGTGTAAATAATCGAGTCTCGGCCAGACACTCCAGTGATTGATATCAAGAGCATCGATCCACGTAATTTGGATCGATGACACGCATCAAGCAAGTCAGCGAGCCTGACCACCCGATCCCGTTAGTCGCCTCTTACGACAAGTATAGTCACCTTTTACAGCAAGCATGGGTTGCTGAAGACCTATTCTACCCCGGATCTTCACGGATATCAGCATATAATAAACATGAATATATTGATAATAGGATCCATCAGTGAAGCATAGAGAAACGCTCACATATAAAAATAAACATAGAAATAGTATGCAAACAAAATTCGAAAAACCATTTAGCGGAGATCATAAATCTTTCTGGAAATACTTAGAGGAGGTCAAACTGGCAGCAAGAAGGGCAAGAAGAAGATTATATGATTTGTCCATTGGTCAACTTAAATCATGTGATGCATTAGTTGTAAACATTTCACTGTATGGTTAAGAGTGAGTGAATATGGTTTTACGCCGCTTTTAGCAATATTCCAGCAATAACACGGCGGAGGACACCAAAAAATGGACTCCATACATTGTACCCATGTCGGGAATCGAACCCGGGTCTTCGGCGTGACGAGCGAACGCTTTAACCACTAGGCTACCCGACCTCCCCGTATGGTTCAGAAGTATGGGGTTGTGAAAATATGTCAATAATTGAAATGGTCATACCTCATTTTAAAGGTAATTTCTCAACCAATAAGAAATTACTGTCTCATGGTTATACACGTCTGCATGACCATTTCGTTCAGAAAGGACATTCAGATGTAGAGGGGTAATCGACAGCAACATTCTATGAATTAATCCAAAACACAGGAACCTGCTAAAATTTAGAACTTCGTGTCATCGACTACCAATTGAGAAAGAAAAAGGGAATAAAATATATATCGATGAACGTTTCTGTACCTTAGGTAATCGTAATGACCTTGGTGATGGATATTTAGTTTTTTCTATGTGTCGTTTTTAACGACATTAGAAATTCTTACATACCAGCATATTGTAGACAAAAACATCTCTGTTTGTAAAATGAAACTTGCTAATTTTAGCAGAATAGTTATTGTACCAAATGTGAAATAATCGCGATCAAAAACAAATATTCTACTCTGTGAACCTCAACATAATAGGTACATGTTCTGGAGTGGAATATTGTTCTGTTCTAATCGGTTCAATCCTATTATGATATATACCCTGGACCCATTCGCCAGATGGAATGACACGGGTTTCCAATTAGCCGCCAAATCAAACTACACTATCCTATGATGATTAAATTGCGTCCCTTGGGCACGCTAGAAACCTTTGTTGTGGATTCGAATCCCACATCGCCCCTATTATGTTTCTAGGTTTGTCAGCACCATGCCCGTGCTCGTGGGTTTCACTAAAGCGGTAAAAGTCTAAGACCTGCATCACTTCGGGCTTTCCTCTCATATTAAGCTGACACGGCTTGATACAACTGGAATACTGTTTAAAGCGGCGTTGAACCCAACTCACTCATGGTCAAAACAAGCGACGAAACCTTGCCTCGTCTTGCTGCGTACTGTTTCAAAGACAAATAGCATGAAACCTTTCTTCTCCTGTTCTCGCGTAGACTCGATTAATATGAGTTTCAGGTTTGTATTGTTAAAGATGGATTACTTTCAGACCTCCATCACATCGCGGGTATATTGTTGAGTGAGTTAAACAACAAACACACTATAACGCATGCGCAAACATTTGTTTAATGCATAATCAAGTTATGTGAGCTACAAGGCCTTTGCTTAAGTCATGTGGCACAATAAACCAAATCCTCATCGTACAGATGGTGTGCCTCAGTCCGTGACGTTCCTCACCAGGGTTGGATGACACAGAGGAGCGTCTGTCGGTCTGAACTGTACAACCACGATGATATACGTTGCCAGAGTCCCTACAATCTGGAACACACACGTTTTGTTTGTTTCACGCCCATTCAGCAATATTCTTGCTATATGACGGTGGCCTATAAATGATCGTTTCAATTGGTCCCCAGCAGCCCATGCTGGTCGTAAGAGGCGACCAAATGGAAAGGGTGGTCAGGCTCAGCGACATGATTGGTTGCGTTACGTGTCATCCGACCCGACGGCTTTGATCGTTGCTCATCATGCATCGGAGTGTCTGGCCCAGGCTCGATTATTTACAGGCCGCCGTCATATAACTGGAATATTGCGGCGTTATAAAACAATCTCATTAAAATCAGATCTTAGTTCTCGCTACCGCTAAACAAAGACCTGAGGACATCCCATTACGGGTCACGTCAGACCGACCTTGCGCGAACTTTGACCGACCAATGGAATGACCAATCAGAAGGCAGTTTTCTCGTTCTTTACGGCACTAATTTCAAATTGGCGACTACGTTTCGAAACATATTTTGACAAATTCTCGATTTAAAATTTGAAACCTGAACAAAAGAGCATTCTGTAATGGCTAACAGATGGTCTAGATTGTATGGATTCAGTCGTTAAACACGTAACTATCGTTCGGAGTTAAAGTTTTCGAGGTTGCATGATTAGAAATCACATTCCGACTGTCACTTTCATAATCTGGTAAGCGATGCTCTGATTGGTCGGATGTAAGGTCGTTCTGACGTGACGCCTAATGGGATGTCCTCAGATCTTTATTTCGCGGTAGCGAGAACTGAGGTCTGATTTTAATGAGATTGCGTTATAAACAGGTCAAACATACACAAAAACATTATATTTTCATTGGAGTAATATAGTGCATATTCAGCAGTTGACATTTACCCAATGGCTACCCACACTCTATCACCTATTGATGAGACATTCTGCTCCCCTTAATAGTTATATAAGATGGAACTAAACTCACCCCAAGTAGTGTTGGCATAGTGATGGAGAGGAGGCCGTAGACGTTGTAGCCGATAGTTTCCCCAGTAAGTCTGGTCACGAACAGATCAAGCTGTGCATGGAGAACAAAGTGATCGAGTGTAGACATTCAGGTATTAGTCATTGAATATTGTCAAAACATCTTACATCAGATAACCCGATATGTTCTTGTAATGAACGTTGCGATATATTTAAATTATATAAGATCATACAAAAATCCTTGATTATCCGGTGCATTATCCATTCTATTTTGATAACTACCTTTGACTCATTCGCTATCATAGCATCGTTTCGGAAGTGACATCACCATCTCAGACATCGCACAAAATTTCCATCGCTCAAGCGAGGTATTTGATTGGGCGGCTATTCGAATCGAGTTCAAAACAAAGGTATGGGGATGAATAGCTTCAGGGCATTTGTCGTTACAGAATGAAGATATAATACATTGGAGGTGAGGTGAAACGGGGTACAATGTCGCCTCCAAGATTATTGAACTTTTATAGCGACGTGCATGCACGTGTGCATGTGTGTGCGAGGCTGCTTGCACTAGTTCGGACTGATGCCGTTTTATAGTGCTAGCCCACTGAGATATCATGCGCAGAATACCCCACTCAGACACAGTATACTGACTCCGAGCCGACCAGTCCTTGTTTTAGCCCCTTAATGCCGAACACCAGACAGTGTAACAACAAGTACCATTATTTTAACGTCTTTTTGGAATGGCGGGGCGGGGATCGAACCCCGGACCTTCTGCTCTCCGGGCGGACGCTCTACCACTAGACCACTGAGGCGGTCTAATACATTGGAGATAACACATGACATGACGCCCGCCACAGTTTGTGAAACCCAAAGGACACAATCGGAGTGACTCTTAGACTAGTGGATCCTGGTTCGGCAAAGCGACGCAACAGTGGTTGGATGAAATGTGTACCGAGTTATTGAAAACATACATGTACATGTGTGTTTGTAACGCAATTAAACAAATGCTTACAGTTTGTCGTCCTCTTTCAGAAATAATCCCTTTCCTCACTTTCCATATATATCTCAGGGGATCATGAGCCTGGAAAAAAGTAAATCAGTAAGAGAAATACATAAATCTTGTGTCATCAGTGCTGTGTCATACTGATTTAAAGGAACGGGTGTCCGAATTGTTATCCCCTCTAGCTATACGAAGGTGGTCTCTAAATAATCGAGTTTGGACAAGACAATCCAGTGATTGACACAACTAGCATCGATCTACGCTATTAGAATCAACCTAACCACGAGCCTCACCACCCGATCCTTTAGTCGCCTCTTACGACAACCATGGGTGGCTGAATACCAATTCTAACCCGAATCTTAAAGGGTTTCGTACATAGTGAATCATTAAATGGTACATATATTATTCGTAACAATACATATATACTATGGGCCAAAAATAACTGACACAGACGTAATACACAGTAATGTTTCGTCATTTTAAATGCTGTGTGTCTATAAATTGTAACGATAATAGTACGAAGATATATTAAATGATAAGCATAATTTAAATATACTCTTAAAATACATAACAAATCTTTAAACATATCTTTGTCTTCCATCATCAAAAGAAACACCAGTTCACTCTACATCTCCAAAACAAAATAGTGAGTGAGTAAGTTGGGTTTAACGCCGCTTTTAATAGTATTCCAGTTATATCGCGGCGTATCAGCCTAATGTGGGAGCCTAATGCGTGTATGACAATTAAAACATGATCAGATTCTTTTGTTTTTAGTACATATGTGAGTTGCTTAACATTACCTTTGAACTGACAAACGCTTCAAGGAACACTTTAACGCCGACAAATGTAAGTGCCATCGTTACAATACAACACAAGAAAATCAGTTCCGGTTCTGTCAACGATTTAGACATGGCATGATACAGAAACAGACAGTTTGTGGGTACAGCTAAAAATATTATAACAAAGCTGTAGTGACACATGCAGTCATTCGTCCCATTCAACACATCCACTAAGCATTCGTGATGCTCAACAAGAACTTCGAATTCCTTTTCTATATTCTCGACACTGGATATGGATAAATCCTTGAACTTCTTAGCAAGAGCCTCGAATTCCTGTAGCAGAAAGGTGGTGAAAATCACACATACGAGAAAGTGTCCTTGCCATTGTATATGTCCCATAAAGCTAAAAATGGCATTTAAAGTGAATCCAAAGTATTTCCAGTTGTCAGGGAGATTACACGAAGGATACACGTCACATAGAATAGCCTTGTTGTGTCTGTAAAGGAACATTTGAACTGGACCAAACACCACACTATTTACCAATGTGAGTGCAATCATTATTCTAAGCCTTTTTAATCTGTTAGAGGTAACAAAATTCGATTTGTACTTTTCCTTATACAGGTTGAACACCTGTTCAAAATCCATCAGGGCTTTTGGCATTTTGACCAAACCCACAAAGCTGAGGTAGATGTCGGCTACGCATATCATTAGAAAACCAATGAGTCCCGTTGTGTTTTCTGATTTCGTGAAGCGATCGTATATTGCGATAGAATACAGTGGAATGTGTACTAGGTATACAACAAAAATGAGTAGGGCAACCTTCTTCTTCCACCTTCTCGTGTTGTTACCTTCTCCACAGAACATTCCCCCTAAGCAAAACACTGTTCGAACATACTGGAAGAGAGAGGCTGTGAACTTGGACTTCTGATTGGTATTGTCTTTAGGATCACTGGTATTGTCCCTAGAATCATCACTTGGCTCAACTTGTATAAACATGTTGCAGGGTAGCAGTTCGGTATAGGAGTAATCACTACAAGATCACGCCAAACGTTAATGTATACTGGGAAGGAATGTTTTATCCCAAGCTCTAAGGTCGGTGAATATATATCATCCTACTGTATGTCGCTCGTCTTCTTTGCGTGTTTACAGCTTCACCCGTGAGAGTTGCTAGAGCTTTGGTCCAGTCCCACAATGAAGCTCGGTACATGTGGTGACTCCTTGGGAGAGTGACTTATGCGTCTGTTCTCCTAGCAGTGAATGGGTACACGGTGTGGGGAGATAGCAATGTGACTGTTAACCCGCCGGCGCCCAATCGACAGTGGTAATAATACCATGCAGAGCCACTGAGCAGCTATCGAGTAAATGCATTATATTATATTTGCCCATTCCATCACACTGTTCCCATTAACATCATTGCTTGTTTAATTGATCAATGCCGTCGGCGAATTAGAACCAACGTTTGTCACCAGGACGTCATGTATTGGTAATGGAGCAAACAATGTCCTAATGTTTGATTCATGTAAACAGCCAGTGAAAGCGTTTGTTATCTGTAGGTTACTTGCAATATAAAACGCAGTATGTACGGTTAAAACATTATTCTCCAGCAATAAAAAATAGATCTCGTGACGGGGCCGATGAAAGGGGGATGTCTGTCTCTTGATAGGCTGACTAGACTGTAATGTTTATTGTTTGGGTAGTTTTGCCAATGGCAGATGCCGCGATCCGAAAACACATTGAGTTGCTGGTTTGGACTTGTTGAAAGAATGCCGAATCTCAAATTGAAGACATTTACCGCTCGGTGAAACCAACAAAAACTCGTTAGGTGCAGAGAGACCAAGGATCCTTCGAACCGTTGACCAGCGACCTTTAGTGACATTAATTACAAAGCAGAATTCAATGCTTTTCTGTTAATGGATAATGATGAATGTTTCTGTACATCCGTCATGGGATTATGCATAAAATGATTAGCTATTTATTTGATATAATATAGCATCCACCACATGTCTACTTTCGTGTTATCTTTCAAATTACATTTTACATTTGTTAAATTTCAATAGTATATTAATTAGTTTAATTTTACAAACATTTTAAAAAGTTGCATTGACAAAAACTATACTCTGTGTTGCCGACATCCATACAAAATTAATACCAAAAATGAATTGGTCATTTCTGCATGGACTGGGATTGGTTTAAATGGAAAGTATGAGGTGCTGCGGAAATTTGGTGAAAAGATGGAAAAGTCGTATAAACATAACCAGTTGAGAGTCTAGAGCCGAAACACACTAACATGACATGCACGTACCATATTACTTGTTGGGCTGTGAAAACGTTGGGTTTTCATTTGCATGCCATCGGAATGTTTTTGCGACATGGGGAAATATTCACGTCTAATTATACTCTTCAATTTTTACTTTTTAACGGCACCGGTGAAGCCCGGTGCAAAATACAACATATATTAGTGACATATAGATCTATGTTAGGAAATGCATAGAGAAATATTATAGTTTATTACTCGCCCGTGAAGAGATCAACTATTTATTTACAATAAACCGTTATTAAACAGTGTTAAATAACAACTCCTGCGGACGGGACTATTTTTTACATCAGTTTGTAATTCGAACGGGGGTGTTGGTAGCACTTTGCAACTTCTACTTCAAGGCTATTTTTCACAAAACACCTGAGATCAATAGACACACTAGCATGCATCTAACATTTGTATTGTTGATATATTTTACTTGAATTTGTCAAGACAGTGAGGTTCTGCAGTTGCCTATCGCAGGACTCGCGAAAAAATACATTTGAAATAGAGAGAGTATATGGACTATCGCATTCCATAGAAGAAATGCAAGCATCGTGCCATTATCAAGGTTCAGATCATCACTGATAAACAAAACAACGATGTCAAAAGAACATCACAATCGTCATCGCCTCGTCTACTTACGACCTTGAATTTTGTGTTATAATAGTTTATGAGCGTAGAGCACCTTGTACCAAGTACCATGTCAACCCATGCAATCTTGTGTCGTGAATCTTTAGTGCTCCGATATCGAAATGATGGTGAACTTTAACGGTCCTTAGATACGTTTGGAAATACACTCATTGTAATAAGAAAGGCAGCTAACGAGGACTCGTTTAGTTATCTAAACGTCTCATATCACTGACATGACATTTAAACGTGATGCCCTACAGATATGGTTACACTATACTTTAAAATGATGAATGACAACATTACAAATATTTAGGTACCCAAAAAGTTAATTCAACAAATTAGTTATCAAATACTACTAGTCACTGAAGTGGACGGAATTTACCTTTCGGAATTTTCGTGCAAGAATTTGCTGTTAGTTAACAATATTCCCATCGCTTTCGCTTTGGAACGTCTGTCAACCATATATGAAAGGAACCCTTGACAAAGAGAGGACAGGAAACATTTAATCCCACCCGATCACCATGTCCGAATTCTCGGAACTGACTCACTGCTGGAAACCCGCTTGCCTATTGTATTCCACAGCTAGAATATTTCTATATGTATTGTAAAAGTTCTTCTGTCTGAATTATTGTTGGATTAAACCTATTATCTACACGACTCTCTGTCTTGCGGTTTAGTTGGTGTTTTAATTCGCGGAATCATTCCGTTCTCAAAAGCATTGAATTTATCGAAACCATTCTTCGTTTTAAAAGAAAACATTTCAATTGTGTCTTCTTGTTTATTATACCCGGACGTGTACACTACACACATCTATGAGGAAATGTGTTGAAGGACTTACTGAATTGCTATTGTCACATCCAAAGCATTGGCTAAAGCATACCATTGTTTCAAACATAGCATAAAAACCCATGAATTTCCATCTTTTCTCATTGGGCAATGAAACTTCTGAAAAAGCAAAACATCAGCAGCAGCTGTATCATCTCAATAAATTCAAGTAATAAATATAACTTGACAGTTAGAAGGGTACTTGCTAACACTCTCTTGATGTAACAGGTATTGATTTCACATCAGTTCGCAATAGAGTCAAATAAGAACGGCAGTATGTTTGTATTACAGATGCACCCCAAATATTTTCGCGTCCCTGAAAGCAATCCAACAAAGTGTACCGGTATTAAAAGAAGAAAATCATTTCAGCGATCAGGAGTCATTAATCGTTTTTTCATCAGAACTTTTTCATAGAAACAAAACCACATAATGACTATACGTTATGGATCAAACTCTTAAATCCAACTCTATAATCTGACTATTCGGACTGCTTTTGATATGATTGAAAATGACGATATTAGCTATCAAATGGATAACAGTGTCATATTCATTGGAGAACTTAACGCTAGAACTAAAGATAGACCAGACCACATATCCTTGAAAGACTATGATAGATGATATGACTTACCTGAGGATATACTCTGCGAACTCACCAGCGAATTAATCTAGGAATGCACCACGTGATAGGTCAAGTAAACAGTCGCAGATCTTTCTGGAAATACTGAGAGAAGCTCACACTGGGAGCAAGTTTCCTCCCATGGGGGATTTATACGACCACTTCAAGAAGATTAGCCATGATAAGGATCTTAACTTTGACAGCAATAACTTGGAATTGCATTTTGTAAAACATGTAACTTTATGAACACCAAAAAGACACAGCGGGAAAAGGGTATGGAAGCTGTGCACTATGTGCAAGAAGCAGATTTTATAATTTGTTGTCAACTTATGTCCATACCACATTTTAAAGACAATTTCTCAACATTTTAGAAAGTACCACCTTGAATATGAAACTTTTATATACATGAATCAATGCTTACACCAGAGTAATCACATGTCCTGGGGAAAATATCACAGGGAAGTCTACCAAATTAGCTTTCTTTGTTTATAATTCATAACGAAAACACTTGTACAACACTACCAATAAATGGATGCGGTTTATTAAGAACATGTGTGACCTAACTGGCAACACTTCTTATATCTGTGCTGATAAAACCTTGCCATCTTTAGAATGGCTTGAATACCACATTCATTCCTGTCTACATGACTAGTTCATTCAGAAATGGTAATCAGAGGTAGAGAGATAATAGAAAACGATTCTATAAATTATTGCAAAACACATGTAACTTGAACCTGCTAAAATTTTAAACTTCGTGTCATCGACTAAAATTGAGAGAGGAAGATGGAATAAAATACATATCGATGAACGTTTCTGTACCTGATGTAATCGTAATGACCTTGGTGATGACTATTTATTTGTTTCTATGAAACGATTTTAAAGACATAGGAATTCTTACACACCTGCATATTTTAGACAAACGTATCTCTGTTTGTAAAATGAAACATGCTAATTTCAGCAGAATAATAATTGTAACAACTTTAAAATAATCTCCATCAAAAACAAATATTCAGCTCTGTAAACCTCAACATAATATGTACATAGTCTGGAGTGGAATAATGCTCTGTTCTAATCCATTCTATTATGATATCCACCCTGGACCCATTCGCCACCATAGCTTCTTTGATGTCCAGATGGAATGACACGGGTTTACAATTAGCCGCCAAATTAAACTCCACATTTCTTTCATGATTGAATTGCGTCTCCTGGCCACCCAAGAAACTTATGATTGTGGCTTCGAAACTCTCTTCACCCCGATATATTTCTAGGTTTGTCAGCACTATACATGTGCTCGTGGGTTTTATTAAAGTGGTAAACGTCTAAGACCTGCATCACTTCGGGCTTTCCTCACACATTAACCTGACACGCCGTGATATGACTGTTGATATAACTAGAATAATGTTAAAAGCAGCGTCACAACCAACTCACTCACACATGATTTAAACAAGCGACTGTGTCGTCTGGACTCGCCTCGTCTTACTGCGCAGTTTCAAAGACAAATAGCATAAAACCATCATTCTTATATCTCAGTACCCAAGAAAATATTATATTACATTTGAAACTCGTACATATTGTTTGTTTGTTGCTTAACGCCGCACCTAGCAATATTCTAGCAAAATGATCACCCGATTCCGTTAGTCTACTCTTACGACAAGAATTGTTGTTGAAGACAAATTCTAACCCGGGTATTCACGGGTTTTATACATATTGACTCATTTAATGGTACATATATCATTTCGTAACCATACGTATATACTCTGGGGCAAAAGTAACTGACACAAACGTAATACACGTTAAAACATTTTTTTTCATTCGACCTGCTGTGTGTCTATAATTGGCAATGATACAAGTACGAAAATATACAAATTGATAGGCATAATTTAAACATACTCTTTACATCCATAACAAATCTTTACAAATGGCTTTATCTTCCAT